CGCAGCGGCTGCAGGTCAGATTCCTGTTGTCGTCCTCTTTATCGATGAGTCTTGCTGGTTGGAATGTTGGTAACTTGTCCATGCCAAGTCTTTTCGTAGCTCTCGTCCGTCCGGAAGTCGGCAGATTCCGCACCATGTGAAACCGTTCCAAGCTGGTAGACAGAATACTGGTTTATTGACTCCGCACCGCTCGCCAACCCGTGCAGGGCTTCTTCCAGGCAGACCTCAGCAAGATGCTTGTACTTACTTTGGAGTTTTCCGTTGAGGAGATCCTACCAACTGCGCCCACTCACCGACGCCCCCAAACACGTCAGGACAGTGGACGATTGATGTTGCAAACTGTTTATGGTGTGGCTTGTTCCGGCTCACGTATGACTTTTTATGATGACATGTCTATTTACGAATATACATGTAAAATTACATGGGTACCGTGGGCAAGCAGGGTCGACCCAGCGGTGAGAATGACCATGCAGGCGGGGTTGAGCATAAGTTGCAGCTCGATCGAAGCACGTTGCTGATGCAGGGGAGACATTGCAACTCATCGCAGGAACAGCTGTCACCTGCCCTTAAACCGATAGTAGGTTAGATGTTGCCTTCAGTGAGAATGTCACGGTGGCCACCGGCTTAGAGGTCTGCTCCTACGAAGCCAAAACTCTGCAGAGCTCTGCGCCTCCCCTGCCGCGAGTCCGAGGATGGCCAAGGGCATCGAGACCCTTCGCTACCTCGACGAGGCAAAGACTTACATGGTGGAGGCAGACCCTAGCGTGCCCTGGCGGAAGCCTTTGCGAAGCAGACACGTTGGCGCGTCGTTCCGGAGAATTCAGGTGCGATTGGCTCCCTGCTGGCGGGCGGATTTCAAGCTCCTGAGCTGAAATCGGCGCTTCGTTGCTGTCGATGCTTGCGGACAGCAGCCACAATCGCATGGCTTCCACAACAGATCGCGTGCTTCGTTTCGTGTTGGGCACTGGCGTCCTGGAAGTGTGAGTTTGGATCCTGCAAGAACGAACGGATTCGCTTGGCCCAGATTCCGGCTCTACTCCAGCAGCCTGGAGAAGATGCAGTTGCTTGCGTCTGACTTTCACATGCTGCGTAGCTGCATCGGGCTAGGGACCACAAATCCTGAAGAACAGGTTTGAGCAATCCGAGCACAGATGAGAAGCGGAATGTGGCGGCTTTTTGTGTTGACTTTTGTTGTTTGGCTTGACTGGTTGATGCTGGTTCGGGCGGCTCTGGCCATTTATAATCCGCGCAGCCTGCATGTCCAAGCAGGTTAGCACGGAACTCGGATAGCCGAGTCTTATGACATCTGTGCGAGCTTTGTGTTGGTGTGGCTGACAAGGGCGTAGCTTGCATGCGACATACCTAGAAGCCTTGCAGTGTTCTGGTGTTCGAAGATGGTTCGATCTTCGCATCTGGCAAATCATACAAAATCGACCCCATTGTATTAGAACAATATCAGAAGTTATGTGATGTCAAAATGTTGTCAAGGTTACTGTCAGGGCCAGCATCAGCATGGCAACTACTCACGCGCGTCGATCTGTGCTGTGGTTGCCAGGTCATCCGGATATGACTAATTTCCCAAAGGACCTGTACAAGTGTTTTAGAACAGTTTGAGCATCCGTGGTCGTAAGCTGACCCCCGGAACGAGTGTCGGGCCTTGAAGCTCTTCCGTGAGATTCCTTTGCACGAAGACCCGATCCGTTCAAGCTGTAGCCTGACCTACTTGCTGGCTGGTGTTTGGACAATTGCTCCCGCTGTCCACTTCCTAGGCGGATTCGACATGTTGACAGACGTGTAACTGTAGCAGCATTAGCAAACCCACAATGTGGGGACATGTAACACGAACGCCAATGGCCCGGAGGTGGGGTCCAATCAGGGTCTTCTCCTACTTATGACTCCACATATAGCCACATCGCCATGTCTCTTGAGTTAGTCAGAACTCGATCTTCGGAGGCTCTGGACAGCCTGCTTGGACCAGGGCTTCATTACGGATGATGCGGAGCGCACCTCGCTGATTCTAAAGCCCCTTGCTGAGCACCCTGCGATCCAGGAGCCGAGGGGAACAGTGTGGCACAGTGTCTTCCATGGAGCTTCTAAGGAGGGCTTCGACGATTTCTTGCTATTTTGAGACATACGCAATGCAATGCGAATAGCAGTAAGAAGCCCGAAGCCGCCATCAACCATTCAAAACTCAGGCGACAGCGGCAATCTGCGAGAGATGGTGCTGGGTGCAGTCTATCCCAACGACTCGAAGTGTTGCAAGTATGCTGAAGTACTTGTATGCGGTTGGAGATTTGCGGCACGAAGAAGCTCTAGGACTCCAAGCAGTAATCACCATGTCTAGAAGAACCCCGAGTCTCCTGGCCACCGTAAGACGCTCCGCTAAGCCCAGCACAGCAAAGCAGCAAAGGGGGGCGGCTTGTGTTTAAGCGCTCGAGGTGGAGAGCGCTGGAGGCTCAGAGTGGGCACTCTGCGCCAGGACCTGACGGATCGTCTCGATGGGCACTCTCAGAAGATGCTTGAGGCATGACTGGGCTTACGTGGTGTGATTGCTGTTCCTAGCGAGGTCGGTTTTTGGCGTTCTGTCGTTGCTGCTCGGAGCTGGAATCCGAAAGAACACATGAGTTCAACGAGCGATTTGGATGCAGGCGCTGTTTGCTGCCTTGCGGCACACGAGTGAGACACCACTGCAGTGCGAGGTGGTGAAGGAGGCGCCAGATGGTTCCACAGTTGGCTCTTTTTCAAGGTTTGAGCCTACGCTCAGTCAACAGATGCTTGAACAAAGCGGCTGTGCAAAGCTGTGCTGCGCAGGGCGATTGGGCTAAATCTCCACTTTCCAAAACAGGCTTTGCTCCACCTTGCGGCAGCTGCCTTTTTGATTCGGTGCTTCTGACAGCGGACTGTCTTTACTCTTTAGGCAAATCGATGGTGAGGCACATCATTATTGGCCGTCATGACTCGTTTTGTTATGCTTAGGGGGCTGCTGCTGCATCCTGCGCGCTCCTTAAGCTGCGTCAAATGCTTCGTAGGAATTAGCTAAGTAGCTTCGCGGTAGGGATGTGATTGCTTGAAGGCCCAGAAAGTTTCCGTGGACTGCGGCATCTCAGAAGACGAGCGTGAACGGCTGTACAGATCCCTGACAGACAGCCTGCTACCTGACATGTTTAGTCTTACTGCCAGCGGCACCTGAATTGACATGACGGGAATGCTTCTTGGTGAGGTCATCACCGCGATAGGTTGTACCTGCGAAGCTGCAAAGTCTGTCAAGCTGTTGCGGTAAATGGGGACAGCCCTGCAGACGAACGAGCGCTGCTGGAAAGTTGGAACAACAAACAGAAACTGTTCCGTAGGTGTTGCAGAAGTACCAGTACTTTTCAGCATAATCGCATCCTATCTACATCGACAGTTGCTGCGCAATTGTGCCGCATGCCTGACGGCTAAGGCCTCCAATGCCAAGCGACAGCCCCATGTGCTTGGACCAAGACCCGCACGCTCGGGGAACTGTGGCAATCCGCGCTTTGGAGAATTCTATCAAGCACTTGGAAGACATCTCTTCCCTGATCATCGGGGAAGACATCTTTTAAGCACGACAGCTTAGCATTTTTGATGCATGCAGGTAGCGACAACAGCTATCCTTACCGTAAAGTTTTGAACATAAGTCGTCCCAAGTGGCAGCAGCAAGACTGCCATGCATTGGGCTTTGCATGACACGCGCGCAATGACGTGAGTAGCTGAATAGCTGACTAGCTCAGACACTTTTCGCACGATCCGAGCGTCTGTGCCAGACCAAAGTTCCCGAGCACTGCTCGCCGGCTCGCATCTCCATTCTCTCGCCTTCTCTCCGTTGCGACTCGGAAAACTTCCGCGGTGCTGCGTAGGAGGTGGCGCGGACTTGGCGGCCGAGCTCTTCCACGACTGGTCCCTGCGGAGCAGATCGCAGGAAGCAGTGTTAGCACCCTCTGACCGAAGCTCGAAGCCCACAAATCGCCGGCGGAGAGCCGGCGAAGAGTTCAGAGTAGGAATGGGCAAGGGCCGCAAGGGCAAGGGTGCCAGTGAATCGATGGACAGAAAGCCTCAGAAGTACGTCTTGGCTTAAGAATTGCAGGTTTCCGCTCCTGTCGCATAACACATGGATGAATTGGGCGGGGTCCAGCCTAAGACGGGTGCCATGGCTACTTAACAGCCTCGCTTGAGCCGTTGCTTCAGCTGGCACTTCACTGTGATTTCTTTGTCAGGCTTGTGTAAAGATGTCTGGGTGGGAGGTTGTGCGCCGTCATGGAAAGAAAGCACGCTAGCGTCGCCCTGAGCCTGTGTGTTCCGCATGCCAGGTCAGGTTTGCTTTTCCGGCCTGCTGAGCCTTTGGCTGGACTTGAGACGTTTGGCACTTGGGCTTTGCGAGGGGGAAGTCTCTTCGTGCAGCTCCTGGCTGGTGCCACAAGAGCATTTCCGAATGGAGCACCTCACACCTGAGTGCTTGAGCTCGGAACATGCGCAGGTTGCCCGCCAATGTGATGCTACGGAAGCAGGTCCGGTTTCGGTGGAAGTATCGGCAGGTACATGGCACATCAAAGGATGCATCTTGCGGGAGAGTTTAGTTGAATTGATGAAAACCTTTCAATACAACGTCGCTGAAACTCAAGGTACGCAGAATGTCGGAGATGTCGTGACATGTGCACGAACTTTTCCACAAAGTCCATTCCTAAACGAGATCTGAAACGCCTTACAGCAGAGCCGACTTCCCGCTTTAAGCTTCCTTTTTGGGGGGTCTTCGCTTCGCCGCCTTCGCCTTCTCTCGGCTGCCCGCCCCGGCCCGCGCGCTCGGCCCCGCAGCTCCGCTCTCTCTCCGCATCTCTCCGCTCTGCGTCTGGGCCTCAGAGTTAAGCGAAGCGGGGCGTTCCGGCGGCCAGAGCTCCTTTGCGCGAGCTGCCGTTTCGAGCCCTATTGGACATGCATGCCGCCGTTTCCCGCTTCGTGGAATCGTCGTGACAGGTCGCTCGACCATGTACCAAGCGCAGACCACGCCTTACAGCGCCGTGCAGGCAAAGCAAAACAGGGATTGGCCTGAGTTGGCTTCCAGTTTCGAGGGCGAGGACCGTGCTAGCTTGAGATCTTCGGCAAAGAGCCGCACCTAAATCCTCTTGAAGCGTTTCGAACCCTCGAGACAGCATAACCAAATTTCAGAAGCCCCCCTCCACAGCAGGTTACCACCCTTGGTGGGTCGGCTTTGCCCTCTGCTGGCGAGTTGCCGGCCGCCCCTTCCCCGGCAAAGGACCTGCGTCGTGTGTGCTTGGCTTGTCGTGTCTTTGCTCCAGTTTCATGCCAAGTTTGATGCCAAGGCGCAGGCAAGCACCTACACTCCAGGAACATACGGCGGTGTCACCTACACCGCAGGCACTGCGTACACGCCTGGAACCACCAGTGCAGGCACGGCCACAGCCTATACTCCTCCCTCGTATTCCAGCTACTCGACACCCACGATCGCGGGCGGGGCAGCCTACACAAGCACCAGCTCCCCATATGGAGCATACACTGGAGCATACACACCCTCGACCTATGCGAGTGCTCTTCCCGCATATGGCAACACTTACGGCGGGTACTATGGAAGCGCACCCGTGACCGGGTCCAGCTATGCCGCAGCGCCCACAACAGAAACGGCTTCTGCGACCTACGGCCGCGACCTTGGGGCTGTTGTGTGCGCATCAGACAGCATGTGCTGAAAGACAGCTTGTTCCGTGCACGACGTCGAGAACTTCCAAGAGGACATCCAAGACAGGAGCCTCAGCAAGTAGCAAGATCACAAGATCATGCGCGTAGAGTCCGTATAGTATAGACCCTATAGGCCGCACATTTCCCAATACGGGCCAACATAAAGATCCTAGCATTCAGCGCTCCCGAAGTTGATCGAAAGCTTTCAGAGGCACGCCTGCCATGGCTGCAGCGACTGCCTACGGCAACGGGTCGTTCACAGCTGCACCGACCCTGGAGCCTTTGGATAGGATGCAGATGGCTGCAGGAGTTTGGGGTTCAGTGTAGAGATTGCGAGTTTGGGGCTGTAGAATTGCTGTTGCTAGGCGTAGGGGTGTTTTGGGGCGCTTTCGGTTGGCCGCATCAGGACATGAGATCTCAGGCGGTATTGACTCAGGAGTTTCGTGAAAAGAAGTTGGACTCAAGCAATGTGTCGAAACCTCCACGAGGCACCGGCGGCGCAGGCACGCAGCGGGAGTACGGGGATCGTTTGATCTTCACCGTATCGTGTAGTCCGGGCTTTGACGAAGAGTTCGTGCAAAGAGTGTGTGGAGCTTAGCGCTGGGTCCGTGGATCGTCCAGCAGCCAACATAGATGCCGAAGTAGGAATTAAGCTAGTCGTTTCGATGTTTCGTGCCGCTGGCTTGGAGGAGACGTAACTGGCCCAATGCGAAATTGTGTTTGAACTAGTTTTTGGTAGGTTTCTGTCTGGCCGGACTGTTCCTTGAGCCTTTGTTAGCTCCGATCGGTGGCCAGGAACTGCCAGGGTATGGAGCCTCGCCCGGCCTTCAGGAAAGCATGTTGCTGGTAGCCCAAATCAGACAGGCGCTGAGCGTCGAGCCCATGTGTTTGATCCACTTCTGAGGGCCACGCTGCAGCCTGCACCCTCCATGATCGTCCCACCTGCAACGATGAACCCCCTGCAGCGCCTTGGCTGAAGGAACGAAGGAGTGTGGTGTTTTCTGGGCTGCGGATTCAAGCGCAGATTCAAGCGGGCACAAGCATGTTCTGCTGGATGGTGCTTTCAAGTCCATCTTGAGTAATCCCGGGTTTTGGGCGCTTCATGTGCAGAGCAAGATTGTGTGCAAAAGTGGGACTGCCATTTTTGTCGTGGCTCATGCTTGCTGGGGCTTGATGTGGCTCCGTCATGATACGGAGAGAGGGAGGGATTGCTTTACATGGAATGGAAGCCTGGGTATCGAGATCGATGAGACTGAGCTCTTGCATCTTCATGTACAGTAGGGACGACGCGGCAGAGAAGAGGAGCCCGCATGCATAGCACCTTCTCTGGGCTACGGCAAAGAACCGGCCTGATTGTTCAAGGGTGGTTTGGGGGCTCACGGCCTCTGGATTCGAAGCATTCTCCCTCCTACGTCCATTATCGGCAAAGCCTACATGCGAGGTTCCTTGAGGCAGGAGTGTGGTAGAACTCGCACAAGCAGCCGAACCTCGCTAGGCTCCGCTCAACCATACGATGATTTCGGCTTTTTTTCTCCTCGTCATGCCAGAGTACGCCTTGTGAAGGCTTCTCTTTAGGACCTTTTGGCCTGTGCCAAAGCTCGCTTGTCAGATCGGCGCCCTCAATGATCGCCTACGGCGGCGGCGGCGCTTGCGGCGGCGGCTTCGGCCTGCCACCGATCTCCGGGTGCCCGTCGCCTCCATGCTACGCCATGGTTTGCCGCACTTTAGGCTGACGACCAAGCATCTCGGATTGGTGAGTTGTCCAGGTACACATCTGCGATGGACGGCGCCCACCTCAGCATCAGATGCGATGCAATGTGGAGCGCAAAGTCTGCCGTGATAAATGCGACTCTTCAAAGTTAGGCAAGCTCAAAGCTACTTAACCAGACCTTGCAGCCTTGCACCAACAGGTCCATTCAAGTTCTACGCTACACCGCCAGGTGTGGAGCAGAAGGGTAGTCGCAGTGTTCACGGCTGCAGCACAGCTTTGGTTGCTGATCGAAATCTGTTCACTATTATTTTCATGTAATTGCTGGGAGTTTTCATTTTGCTGCGGGCTGAAGCCTCGAACCCTATCACTTTGCACTGTCTCAGTATTGCATGTCGAACCTGAGGTGTGCAGTTCAAGACTTCACTGTCTGCCCCTTTGCCCAAACGTTGCAGCTAATTATCCTTCAAAGTCGGAGACAGCATGCCCTAGGCACACTCATCTTATGCAGTCGGTTTCTGGTACACGTGCATCAAAATTTTGCTGTCAGGGGCACCAGCAGTCCAATGCCGATAAACGTTCTAGGCTGCAGGCGTCACCCAAGGTCCTTTTTGATTTGTTGGTTTTGGATGAAAGCTGCAGGCAAACTCCCCGACACTGCTCGTCGGGCTCTGAGCTGGAGACTTTCGTGCATGGCTCCACAGGAAACGAAAGATCTCAGGGCACGAAGGCTCTCAAGCAGATTCCCGGACTCATCATTGGCACATCCTTGCAACTCTTCACTGACGAATCATCCCCTGCATTGCTTGCTTGATACGGGTGGGGTCTTCGGAAGTGAGAAATTCTGGCCGGCTAGGAGCCGCAAGCAGAAATCCAAGCCCTCCCAGTCTCCTTCTGAACGCAGGTCTATCATGTCAATGTTGCGAGCGTCCTCGATCATCCTCTCTGAACGATGACGCAAGGATGCTGAAAGCCCTTTGATATACTCCTTCGGAGAAGTCCGAAAACGACCCCCGTAAGGGAGATGTAAGCGAGAACCTCCAGCCTGCAAGGATTGAAGCTTTCTAAACCCAAACCCTACACTCTAAACCCCTAAACCTTATGAACCCACAACCCTAAACCCCTAAACCCTACACCCCTATACCCTACACATCCCTACACCCTATACCCTAAACCCCGACATACCACACCCTAAACCCCCTCATGGCAGGTGGCGATCCCCTGAAGGCCGAGGAGGGATCTCAGACCGGTGGCTCCTTGCGCGCCGGGGCGAGCGCGAGCCCCAGGGAGCCACAGGCCGCGGGTCGCATGGCAGCTTCCTTTTCCTTGAAGTGATTCTAAGTGTATAGTAGTAATCATAATCATCATAATAATGAGAATTAACAATAATAGCAACAGCAGCAACAACAGTAATAAGAAAAATGACAACAATACTAGAATCAATAATCATACTACTTTCTTGATGCTTCAAGGAAGCTCGTGTCAAGTCAGAGTGGAGGTTGCAGGGGGCTAGTTCTTGTTGGATTTCTCGCCTGGCCGCTCTCTCTTTTTGAACTGTAGTGGCGTTGCAATGAAAACAATTTCTACTGCTTGTCTAGCAGGACTCAAGCTTGGGAAGCATCTAGACACTTTCTTGTTAGTGTTGATATAGAACTTGAGAGCGAGTCACAGAGTTTATTCGTTGAGGACGGGCCGGCTTGTCGATAAGAGCTTGACGTACGTTTTGTGGTTGTCAGGCTGGGCTGGGCTGCCAGTTTCAGCCTGAAGGATTGCACACTTGAGCATTGCCTGGGGCCTCGAAAGAAGCGACGGAGGGGGTCTTCACCTGTTAACACCCCACGACCGTTAAGAAGGTGTTTAGTTCAAGCTCAGCATGCCCCGTAGGTTCTCCTGTATGCCGAAGCCACTGTCCTTCAGGTAAGCCTTCGGCTGATAAGGATGGGGACAGCCTGGGCCTTAGTTGTGGCACTGCTCCTGATGATGGTTCTTTCGAGATCCAAGGGTAAGTCGAAGGGTTCCGGGCCCCGAAACATGGAAGCCACAAAGCAAGCCTGGCTCTGGCAATTCTGCAACGCCCAGGCACGGCCAGGTCGTCCTCCAAGAAGAGCGTGTCGCGTGATTTGCATTTTGAAGCTCGCTGTTTGCGATGCAACGCGCAGTGGGCGTGGTCCCCGTGACAGCGAGAGTTCAAGCATGCTCAAGCCATAAAAACAGCACAGGTCTGGAAAGAAGAAGAAGAAGACCAGCGGCGCGCCCCCAGCTGCTCATGTCGTTCTTTCGAGTAGTTTCCTCTTGCTTCGAAGCCTCTTGCAACGGCTTTCCCTCGCAGAAGAACAACGCCAAAGCGCTCCCAAGCTAATATGAGCCTTGTGTTTTTAGAACTAAGTTCTGGGGTTTGCTGTAATGTCATTTCCAGAACCCTCAGGAAGAGTATTGGTAATCATGCAGCCCTCTTTTGTATGAGCAAGCAGGCACGTGTGGGATCTGAAAGTCATCACCACAAAGAGCAGCCAGTGGGTAAGGGCTTGAGATTCGGAACTCTCCGGTAGGAGGTCCTGCTTGGGGCTTCCCCAAAACGAAAGCAGTGAGTCTTGGAGCTTGGCTTCTGTAAGCTTCCTGGATATCACGCATGGCAGGCTGCTGCTGATGTCCTTCTGAATGCTCGCAAACATCCGTGGTGACATGTGAAGCGGCAGGATGACTATGACCATATCGATTTGTCCTAAGTGCGAGCTTATTGTCTGCATCGTTTCTCTTTTGCGTGAGCTGTGCAACTCCTTAGTTCAAAACAGGTTATGGCTAAGGCCATCGAGCGAGGGCATCGACACAGATGCAATAAGGTCCCCCGTCCTGGTTAGCTGTATACGACACCCCAATCCCGAACCCGCGGATCCGGAACCCCGACTTCTTACTCTTCGCCAAACGATGGGGAAGCTGCCCTGCACCGCAAGTTGCGACCAGCAGAAATTCGATTGCCTGGCTCACAGGCATGTATACGCACGAAGTGATCTGCGCAGCGGCATTCTCTCGGATCCAGAAAGCTTCTGTCAACTTCAGGGCTGTAGCAAGTTCTTGGATGTTGATCTGGCGACTGGGAAGCTTTCGGCTGCGGCCACGGTCACTCACGGTCGCTTGCTGGTACGTCTGGGGAATGTCGCCAGGCGCCCAAGTGCTGAGAAGAACAGGATGATCCCACAACTCCCAACGCTTGTTGAGTTTCAGGCCACGCAAAGACTGAGATCTGGAGTACCATACTTTATTGTCTTTTCGTGCCATCTGTTCCCCGAGCAAGCAGTTCTGCACTAAGAGTTCAGTCCTCTTTCTCTTGCGAAAAGTCAGAACTGTAGTCTTGTTCAGGAAGTGTCGGTTGCGTTCGTAGATGCCGGGTCTTTTGGTGGAACACCATAGGAGTACGATGCCTCATCCTGTGCTTCATATCAGCACGATGCATTAATGGCTAGAAATTTCGCGAACGGCTGTCGCAACAAAATGGACAAAAAGGGATCCTGGGCGAGGCAGAGCACGGGTGAGACTCAATCTGGGGGCATAGATTAATTTCTTCGAACTCCTGATGCAGGTCACGATTCTCCGAAGCGGCCTGCTAGCGATTGAAGCAAGGCCTGTTTTCTGACAAGACTACTCTTTTCGTACGACTCGAAAATCCCAATGCTTAAGTCAGGGAATAGACGGAAGCTACTCAGTGGTAGCATATCCGGTGCCACGGGGATGGAGGGCTTCAGCGGCAGCAGCAAGAGCAACAACTGCGGGAACTGCAACCAACAACCCTCCCCCTCC